ACGGCCTGGAAAGGGGAGTGCGGGACCCGCAGGACGTCGGCGACCCGGTGAGGTCCCTGCGGGCGAAGACCTGGTCTCAAAGCCCACAGCTCGTGATGCCCCAGCGCCGGGCTGACCCGCACCTACGCCTGCCTTCTAGTCGCCTAGTCGCGGGGTTCAGCCACTGCGGCCAGGCAGTCAGACTGGTGGCCTCAGCTCAGCCTAAACGCACCTGGAAGGGGCGCCAGGAGGGACGAACAGACATCTGAGAGACAGCCACCGCTTCTGAATGCTCTGCTCTCCCATACACACAACAAGCAAACTACCGAAACCCACCGGGGTCCACTTCATTACCACTCACAGCCACAGTGCGTAGAGGTTTGAAGACTGGGACTCTTTACAGAAGCCGAAAGCCTCATCTTTCTCACAGGAAGCCACTGCTGGCTTTGAACCACTAACTAAGTGGTTAGCAGCCCAACGCCTATGTCACAGCGCCACTGGGGTCACTCATATACAAGCACAGGGGTGCCCATTGCTTCGTTTCCTTCCTGAGTAACTTTTTTTTTTTTTTTTTTTAGTTTTAAAGATAAATGTAAGAACTATTTTGGGGCCAGGTGCTAGATGCACACTTTGCAAGCCTTATTATATCTGTTACTCCTCACAATAATCTATAGGACATGCTAGTGTTAAGCATCATCTAATAGGTTCTAATTCATAGCGACTTTATTCACAACAGAAACACTGCCTGGTCCTCAGCCATCCTCACAATTGTTATGTTTGAGTGCATTGTTGCTGCCACTTTGTCAAACCATCATGTTGGGGGGGGGGGTCTCACTGATTTTCACTGCCCCTCCACTTTATCAATTACGTGGTCCTTTTCCAGGGCTTGGTCCCTAATTACAGCATGTCCAAAGAAACAGTGACAAAATCTCACATCTTCACTTCTAAGGAGCATTCTGGATGTACTTCTTCCAACAAAGATTTGTTTGTTCTGGTAGTACATGGTACTTTCAGTAAACTTCACCAATACTATCATTTGAGCCTTGGGGAGGTGCTGCGGGTTAATGCACTGGACTGCAAGGTCAGTTTGAACTACAAGATCAGTGGTTCAAGCTTACTAGCCTCTCCTTGGAAACCCTATACAGGGTCATAATGCATCGGAACCAACTCGATGGCACTTAATGATAACAACAAACACTATAACTCATGACATCAATTCTCCTATGGTCTTCCTTATTCATTATCCAACTTTTACAAGTATATGAAATGATTGAAAATACAATGATTTGGATCTGTTGTTCCTTAGTCCTCAAACTGGTATCTTCTTTGCTCTTTTACACTTTAAAGAGGTCTTTGACAGCAGATTTACCTAATGTAATATACTTTTTGATTTCTTGATTGCTGTTTCCATGAGTGTTGACTGTGGATCCAAGCAAATTGAAGTCTTTGACAACTTCAATCCATTTTTTCATGATGTTATTCACTAGTCCAGATTTTTGTTTCCTTTACATTGAGGTGCAACCCATACTGTAGTCTTTGATCTTCATAAGTAAGTATTTTAAGTTCTCTTTTCTTACAGCAAGTAATATCTAATTGCTAATAATTCTTCTTCCAATCCTCAAGCCATGCTCATAGAAGATGTTGTTAGAAGCCATAGCGTCTTATAGTGACCCTATGCATAAAAGAATGAAACACTACCAGGTCCTGTGCCAGCCTCACAATTGTTGTTACACTTGAGCTGTGCCAATCCATCTCACTGGAGGAATTCCTCTTTTTCACTGATTCTCTACTTTGCCAAGCATGATGTCCTTCTCTAGGGACTGGTCCCTCCTGATCTATGTTCAAAGATATTTTTGTTGTTGTTGTTAATTACCATGTGTCAGTTCTCACACATAGTAACCCTGTATAGGGTTTCCAAAGAGTGGGTCTGAATAGTCGACCTTGTGGTTAGCAGTCCAGTGCTTATCCTACAGCACAACACCAGAACTCCCTGGCCAAAGATCATCTGGGTGCAAGTCCTGACTCAGATATTTAGCTTCAGTGTGACTTTAGGCTAATTATTTAGTTCTCTTAAACTTCAGTTTTGTTTCCTGTAAATGAAAGTGTTACTAAAGCTTAGAGACAAACCTGGTATTGTAGTGGTTATGCATTGGGGTGCTAGCTGCAAGGTCAGCAGTTTGAATCTATCAGTCATTCCCTGGAAGAAAGATGAGGTTTTCTGCTCGTTTGAAGGTTTACAGCTTTTGAAACCCTATACAGTGTCACTATGAGTCAGAACCAACTCAACAGCACACCACCACCGATAGAAATGAGATAAGCTATAAATTATTTCCTATTAACAAAAGTTGCTATTAATACCTACATTTGCAGAAAACAAAACTGAGATTTCAAAGCAGAAAATAATTAGCCTAAAGTCACATTGAAGCTAAATATCTGAGTCAGACCTTGCACTCAAATGAGTTAACTCCAGGCTGTGATGTTACAACATCCATTCTACTCTTTCTGTTTACATGAGTGATAGAAGAATGAATCTGGAAATCAACTCCCTAAGAGTTTGGGAATGTACGGGCAATAGGCATCCATCCTAGAAAAGGTAGACTTGTAAATTAAAATGGCATAAATACGTATAGGGGGAAACACTATACCTATTTATGCCAGGGAGCAAAGTGGGATGGTTTAACACATGAGCTCTGACATCAGTCATGGACCATCCCAGCTCTACCACTTCCTGATTACTTGAAACCTCATTTCCTCATCATAAAACAAAGATGATAATATCTACTAGACAGGGATGTTTTAGGAATAATATAAAGAAGTCCATGAGATGCATTTGCAATGCCTGACATTCCATAAGTGTTTACTAAGTGGTAGTTATTATATTTATAGATTATCAAGTAATAGTAAGCAAAAGCAAGCTAGAGATGATAAGAAAAATAATCCTGAGAAGATTAAAAAAGTAAAGGAAAACGAATCACTAAGTGAAGAACTGTTTTAGTAAAGGATAGTTTGTAGGATGTACTTAATGCAAGTCTTCTGACAGCACAGAACAGTAGAAAAGACATGCCCATTACCTCCTAAAGCTATATGTCTTTAGGTAACAGATTTCACATTTAATCATACACCATCACCTGAAATGCAGGAAGTAATTCTACGTGCCCCTTATTCATTTTTCATGTATATTTACATATTCTCTCTCTCTCTCTCTCTCTCTCTCTCTCTCT